TGTCATGCTTGGGCCCACGATGTTCAAGGTTCTCAACCTTCGCAAGGCGCACTCTTGGACTTGTTGTTGGAAGCATGCGCACATCACGTGCGTCGCGTCTCGTCGACCGAGTTCGCAAAAATAGCACGATCTCCGTCACCTGCAGTTCACCTCTGGGAGCCCAGCTACAGACTTGTGACTTGTGCGGAGTTCTCAGCCGTTCCTATCTTGGTGAGGCACGTGCGAGGGGTCTCGCATTGGGCTGCTCTTCGCACGGTGTTGGAGTGCCTCGGATCAGCATTGCAAGTTCTACTTCTCAAGTGTAATAGGTGTCACAGCAACCGACGTGCCATTCAAGCAGATAATATACATTGGACATGGCTCATGTGGGTTCTGAGCCAAGTACGAGCATGAACCACGAAAAAGATCCTTCCCTGCGCTTCCCATTGTCTCCTCAAGTTGGTAATTGTCGATTGGGCTTTGTCCCCAAGCCGTGTTTTGGCATCCGATGCCTCTCAGAGAACATTGTCTCCAAGCTGAGATGTTCCCAAGGTGGTACCCATCGCCTCGTCTGACAAGCTGCTGGGCTAGATCCACACATTTTAGCACAGGACAGACATGGAGACCAGAGTGCTCACACGTATGAGGAAGGCTTGTATCAGCTGAGAACTAGCGGATGGTTCAAACTACAGTACCCCCAAAACCTGAAGCTTGAGTTCCATATCGCCAGAGAGCTTCCCAGCCTTCTGCTTTGCTATTTGGAGTTCTTGGACCATGGAAACTAGACCTGTGGAATGTTTACGTGTGTGTGTGTGTCTCTGTGTGTCTGTGTCTCTGATTATGTGCATATATGTATACGTATATGTGCATATATATATATATATATATATTTATTTATTTACGAATGTATGTATGTATGCTCGCACACATGTTTAACAAACAACGCCTACACACTGCCTTATTCTGCACTGCGGTATGAACCTGCCAGTAGGATCAAAGGATGCAGGAAGTCTCAACTCTGAAAACATGGTGTACGTACGAAGTCACACCCTTTGTATTGCACAAGCTGCGCGTACTACGCGGCCCTGAAAGGACCTAAGTACCTAAATTATGGTAGCATGTCGGATCTCTAGCGTCTCTAACTTTTATGATTTGGGAAAGTATCCCCCCGTAACACTACCTAGGACCCTTTGGGGACGAAATGCTAGCCGCTCTTCAACATGCTGCACATTTCGAGCTCAAAGCCTGACAGTTGCAGATGCAGCACATCCTTCATTAGTAACCGCGGATGACAGGGATAGTGATCGAGGAACTATAAGTGGATACCATTGCTTCTTTACCCGTCATACTAGCCTAGAGCGATTGGCTTTGGTTCTAGCAGTGCCTACAAAGAGTTGCCTACATCTTCTCTGAGACCTGATCTGAAATTGCGGCGGGATGCAAGCTACCCGAAGCCTCACACTGCCAAGCGGGAGTCCCATCACTTGAGAGCTCCATCAGAATGGTTTTGTCGATCCCAGTGCCATACACCCTAGACTGTGGGCTTTCCGGGGATCGAGCTGAGGCAGCCCAACAGACGGCTTTACTGGAAAACTGGGCTGGAGCAGATTCAGACGTTTAGGATCGGCTGCGAGCCACCCTGAGTTTCAAAACACTCCCGAAACCCGAAATCCCAAGCACTGAATCCGACCCTTTTTGCTACTGCAGGTCGTAGACTGAATCCCACCCTGAACCCTAAACCTCTAGACCCTATATAGACTTTAAAACCGCAAACCCGTGGAGGCCATGGTTCTATTCTTGCACACCGCAACCTTAACCCAGTCAGAGCATGCGCCCCAAAACGCTGATGTCGTTGCAAATAATGAGACTGTGTTGTCGCTGAGTCTCCTTACGCCCCTGCACTCTGAATCAGCTACAAGCCTACAATTCGTTACCGCGACTGCGAGCCTAGCATTTCGAGCGATCTAGACCCCGAGACCTTTCGCAGTCATTTTGTGCAAGGCAAGGCTTTGCTTACGGATGCGTGGGTCTCATCCTCATCGCCACTTTGAACATGTCCCATGGCTGCAGCAGCAGACGCTTATCGGGCAATTTCTGATTGTGACATGGCGATCGCGACTCAAGGTTTAAGTGCATAATGACCATGATTACCACACCGTCGAGAAGCCTCATGTAGATAGCAACTCACTTGCGCTGGCGAAATCACAATCTTGCTGCTTAGGGTCCTCGAGTCTCGAGTTCATTGCAGATTGATGCACCGGTTGTCAGGAGGGTAAAGTTGTAGCATGGAGTTTTTGGCAAAGGAAGGAATGGGCACAGCCTCCTTCAGGAGCTTTCGGGGGTTTCAACTCATGAAGCCTTTCGTTGCGGCAGGCCAAGTGGGTGCGAGCTTGAGAGCAGAGTAATCGTGACGGGTTGGCAATGCAAGTCTTGGTCGTCGTCGCAGAGATGAGTAGTGCACAGGTCGTCGTACTGCGAATGTAGGAAGTCCCCCAAGTCATTTACCCACTGGGTTGCTAGGCTCCCGTTGCCAAGGTTGGTCTTGCAGATTCCTGCTTTCCGGAATCTTCTGCTGGCTGCTTCTCCCTAAGGGCCTCGTAGCGCTTCCCGTAGGACAGCATTTTCAATCCTGAGATCTGTCTGGGCGGTATGTTGGATGTGGGGAGCGGAAGTCTGCATCGCTTCTCTTGAAGAACATCGCTGCTAGTGATGTGGGATCTCCAGAAGACGACATGGCCGTACAGCTGCAAGGACATACGGGTGCTGGGCACGGCCCTGTCAGAGTTCCGTCCAAGTTCCACAGCTATCCGCCACTCATATATTGGATAGTGTACGCACCGATCTTGTTTGCAGCATTCGTTGTCCCCATTTCCTTGCGTCAGGGGCGGTGGCTTTTACATGTCCTGAGACCATCGTTGTTCAAGACATGGCTTTCGTGCTAATCGTGAAGACTTGCAGATGCCACTAGATGTTACAACCGCATGTTTCGGCGGTGCTAAAGGCAGAGCAACAAAGCCTAAACAACTCTCTGATCGAGAAGCTGATGTCGATAAAGGGCTCGGATGCATCGGCAGACAGAATGCTTTGAAGTCTGCACTCCGAATTCGTCAGAAGGGAGATGCCACCAGAATGGAACATGGATTGAAACCTGCTGTTGTTCGCATAATGCTGCCGTTCGACATGAGCTACGCGATTCCAAGGAAGCTGAAGTTGTCGTCGTTATTCGTCCTATTCTTCTTCTTGTTGTTGTTGGTGATGGTGTTGGTGGTGCTGGTGGTGCTGGTGCTGGTGCTGCTGCTGCTGCTGCTGGTGCTGCTGGTGCTGCTGCTGCTGCTGCTGCTGCTGCTGCTGCTGCTGCTGCTGCTGTTGCTGTTGCTGTTGCTGTTGCTGTTGCTGTTGCTGTTGTTCTTGTTATTGTTCTTGTTCTCGTTCTTGTTATTGTTTTTGTTGGTGTTTGTGTTTGTTGTTTTTTCGCTTTCTTCTTATTAGTATTCTTCTTTCTCTAGGTTTCGTTTAGGCTGCTAAATCATGCCGCCATTGTCGATGAGCTGCAGCTCTCATGATTGAAGTTTCCGGTCAACCGATCTTGCCGCATGTTTAGCATCTTACCGAACACATAGGGGTAATGCTGGAGCTACACACTGCCCCAAAACTCAGCGGCATCTTGCACCGGGCATTGCTCTTCACACCCAGTTTGTCAGTCTAGCCAGTATTGCGGCCTGTGTCTGCAGGATTTCATGGCATCTCCCTAGACGCTGATGCAGTTTTCGCCACGGCGTCGTGAAGCAGTCAATGCGTAATGTGGCTTAATTTCGTGGCGGTTCAAACATACTAGTATATATACATATATGTAGATTAATTCGCCTTCCTCGTTATCGTCAAACTTCCACCTCGAGTCTCGTGCGCAATAATTGCTGCCTGCTTTTGTGCGGCCACAGCAGGCTGACACCAATACCAGTTTGCCATCGCTGAGATATGCCCGGATATTCACAGACATCAGTTTGCACGCAGGACTTAAGCTGCTCTGACATCACATAACAGGCATAGCAACCTGGGCTATATAAATTTCAAGTGCACTCAAGTGTTCTCCTACGACGGTCTTACTCAGGCATCTGATGGGTCCGCTGCACAGAAATTATTCTATGTGAGATAGCTTTCCCTGGCTTCGCTTCATCATGCCTTTTGCCAACTGTCCGGTCGCCGAGTCCTCCAGGACTACGATACGGAAGGTAAAGGCATGAGGGCCTCAAAGGCTGGGCAAGCGGACTTTTGGGTCTTTTTCCTCAATGCCAACAGCACAAACGTGCTCACAGACACGTCGCCCTCGCTGCGGATTGTTGCACTAAAGATCGCCTGTTGGCCGTGCTTGGGGCTGGACATGTCCTGATTTGTTTTTCGCCAGAGTGTTTTTTGTGTGACATGCAAGCGAATTCCTCTTCGTCACACTCATCGTCATCTATCCTCATCATCCTCATACGTTGTGTTTTGTCCTCGTCGGGTTCAGCTCTTTTCGACCTGAATGTGTGGTCTCGGTCAGCCTTACGCACGTCTCCTAAGGGAGAGGTATCGTGCAGTCTTCCTAGTTTGCAATCATGTAAGAGCTGTTCATATATGCATCCAGTTCGTGACGTATACCATGCTGTCTGGCGGAAGTCGGATGTTGGAAGCACTTATAAGAAGTCCTTGCGCAAGCATCTTTCGGATGTTGCGCACTGAGCACATGTAAGGGTCAGAGCTATTTTGGGCATGGTCTTGCCACATGTTCGACATAGAGCACCGCTTGCTTTGTCTTGCCGCCCACATCGCCATCCTGCTCGACACTCATTAGGGGAGAAGTCAGTCTCTGTTCCATACAGAGCTGCTGTTCTGTACTAAATTAATAGGAGACCAACAGCATGCTGAGCAACCATTGAGCTGAGACTTCGCTTAATGGACAGTAGGTAGCCCCTTATCAGGACAGCCCTGTGCCCTAGCCCGTGACTTCCTGGGTAAGCAAGTCTCGCACCGACTGTGTTTTCGCGATGGGCCCCATGGTTGCACTTATTCTGCAGCTGCGAGTAAACAGTGTTCTGAAGTATGACTGAAGTTAATATTCTGGACGGTCCATGAGTTTACGTATTTGAGGGTTCAACGGTTTGGCGAGAGCGGGGCAAAACTACATGTGTGAATTCGCCGCATTTTCTGACATGTCAACTTAGATTCAGCCGGGTGCCATGGTCTTTGGGACTCTTGAACAAGATTCTGCCGATGATGTTGTTGATGATGACATTCGTGGTGGTTACCACCATTCTCCTGATGCTGGTTGCGGTTGGCACACGGCGAAGATGCGGGTGGTGATTGGTATGGCAGTGACATTGATGATGATAATGATGCGGGGTGGTGATGATGATGGTGGTGGTGATGATGACGATGGTCATGGTGATGATGACGGCGACGGTGAAGTCGGCGATGGTGCTGGTGATGTTGACGACGATGATGGCGACGATGATGGTCATGAAGAGGCAGAAGAACCAAGCTGTTGATTACAATGATCATGCTGGACGACACGGGTGAGAATGGTTGCTAGGGTGCTGGGAATGATGATGATGCTGGCGATGCTGACGATAGTATGATCATCAAGATGCACATTGAAGTTTGTATGCGAATCGCACGCAACGATCCAGTCGATGTCGTGTTTGTGCCCGAGCTTCTTCTTTCGTACATCACGATGAGGGCAATGATGACGATGATGACGATGCATACACATGTATATATATATATATATATATATATATACACACACATATGTAAATGCATGTGTTTATTTAAAGTCAAATCAGAAAGTATGTGTGCCGACATGTGTCAAGGCTGACTCGCATATTTATGTACGTGTTTGTGCAGATGCTTGCGGTGTGCAATCGTGGGCATGCAGACGTAGATATTATTCGTTCAGTCTTGCTATACAGAGGTCGCCCGGCATGCCGCGGGTCGATCCTTGTAGGTTTGATTGTTTCCGCGCCTTGCCCATTACATGACATGCAAATGCAGTTCCACGTGAACTGCACCACCAATGGGTTTCGTTTTTTCGTGGAGGGGGGTTTGGATGATTGAAGTTTCAGCTCTTCATCAGGCTTTGGACAACAGGGCACAGGATAACCAAACGGATGACGTCGCATTTTACGTTTCTGCAAGCCGGAGGTCGTGGAGCATACATCAACGGACGCTATGTGGCAAACGCAGGGGTCCGGCTCCTGGCTCCTTCAGCGGCGGGGTCTGAAGAATTTGGTTTTCGCTCTCGAGCCTAAGATACTGAAACGAGCGGTTCAAAGCTTTTGAACTTGGCTGGATGTACAGGTATCGCAGATGCCTGGAACTTTGGTCCACTCTCTGTATACCCTCAACGTAGAAGGCTTAGGGTCTTGGGTGTTCGGTCTCCGCTTTGAGTGCCCAGCTCTTCCCAAGTACGGCTCTTGAACATGGTATGGGTTGTATTCGGTTGGTGTTGCATTGAGGTACATCAGTATCATGATCATTGCCCGCAGCCCTCTTATACATCAAGGTCTTGCTGTAGATGTCTTATATGTTTGTTGTGTTTTTTCTCGCCAGTATCTGCAGCACTTTTGTCGGGTAGAACTGCTTGAAACCCATTCTCGGCAGTGTCGTGACCAATGGCAGCACCAGGATCATCATTATCCTCATCATCATTACACACTGTCATCATCTGCATCACTCTCCTCACCATTTCCTCATCAGCACCAGCATCATCACTGTCAGCAGCATCGTCTCCGGACCTTGCAGAAACCCTTCCACACCCGCAGTCTCCGACAGTCAGACCATTTCTTTCCACCGTCCCCCTTTTGCACAGCATCTGTATCGCTACAGCGTACGTTCGTCCTCGAACCGTATAAGCCTTTAATTGAGCCTTGCACCCGTCAATCTGAAACTGTCTGAAACTGCATACACTCCGTGACTTACGGTCTTCAAATTCCTGAACTTCGCTGAATGCCTAGAGAACTACTAGAGAACCCAAACCACAAGCGACTCCCAGGCTAAAGGAGGAGGGAAGTCTGACGGGCGCGGGCGCGACGCGACCGGTGCCTGCCCCACAGGGTACGTTAAGCTCTGGTAGGCGCCCTGAGCAGAACAGTGTGTTGGTAATCAAGATTTTCGGATGTGAAGTGTTCAGACGGTTTAGAGTTGAGTTGCTCGTTTTGAACGTTTGTTGTTGGTAGTGTTTCTTGAATTTGGGCTCAGGGACAAGGGCTTCTGATGTTAGGTCTATGCTCCTGGATTTTACAAGCTCCGAAGTATTCGTGAGGGAAGTTTCAAACGCAGGATCGTGGATCGTCTTGCCTGGAGTGAGTATGCAGTCTAAGGCACTCCAATGAATCGCCTCTGAAGGTCTTAGGGTCCCCGCTCTGTGCTTGGGTCTTGGAGAGTGAAGTGCTCGCTACCATTCTGCCGCAAGGCCGAAATTCAAAGGACCACGAAACCACGATATGCTTCGCCGTACATGGAAGTAGGGCGATTTGACTGCAGACGCAGCAATATTGACTTAAAGAGCATTGTGTGCAGCATCCCGCCGGTCCCCGTCCCACGCCCTGACTCAGCAGCGCCCATTAAGTTCTATGGCCGAGTCACCCGCAACTGCCAGCACTGACCCCAACCGTCAATTAGGATTCCAACACTCTCCTCCAGTAAGTCTGGAACGTCCAAGCCCTGACCTGAATCCCGAAACCCTGGACATAGACCTTAAACTCATCCAGAAGCCCGAAACATCATACCATGAACTTGCGTCCTGAGCTCAATCAGGCCGGACGGTTGGCTGGGCGGGAGATGGTGAGGATCGACAGCAGCCCCCGGCCCCAGCTCTGCTGCGACAGCTTCATCTAACGCAAGTAAAACATATTAAAAACACATGTATATATAGGTATAGATGATATGTATCTTTATACATGTATATATAGGTATGTATACAGTTTAACCATGTTCATGTAGACACATACATACACAAGTGCACACATACCTACATACACAAGTACTTACACACGTACATACATACATACTTCCCTGCTTACCTATTTACATACCTACCTACCTACCTACATCCACCTTTTCAATTTCCAAGGCACAGAGACAATGTCGGATGTAGTCTGCACTAATTAAGTTGCTGCGTACGGACCAGCAATTTGACTGCCACCAGTGTGGACTCGCACGAGGAAGCGAGATTGAACCAACGAAGGAAAAGCTGCCCTGTTCCTCATGGAATTTGCCGGGATTCCATGCACGGTGGCAAACAGGACCAGGAACAACTAAACATCCAAACTGGACTACTCGGGATGGGACTTACGAAGCGCAGGGTATCGGATGAGGCCATCCCCACACAGTGTACATACCCAAGACGTCAAAAGACCTTCAACGAGGTGATATACGGACATCAAACACATCGCCGGCAAGCTATTACAGGACCCACCGGAAGATTCAGATTGCACTACTAGTATCACGGCCGACGGGCTATATATCCTCGTGTCTGTTTCCACTGGCCTGTTGAATGCTTCTCGCCCGCCCCATCACCTTCAATCCCGCCCGAATCTTGTGATGTCGGCGCTGATGCTCGTGGAGCTGATCATGCCCCCCCCACTCTCGGCAGTAGCGGCCGGGTCGGGCTCATCAGATTCCGTAGGACTTGCAGTGGTGGCCAGCTTTCAGTTGGATGATCCAGCTGCCCTTGTCTGACGAGCCTCTGTTCTGCTCGATGATGCGCTGTTGGACATCCAGCATCTTCTTGAAGCCAGTGTAAAATCTTTCTGCCGTGCAGCATGAAAGCGTGCGCTCCAAACTCCAAACCAATGTTCAACATGGCCACCTTGCACAGCAAGTCCCTCGTGCCCATGAACGCCATCACATCGGGATGCATCACGTGAGCTGCAGTAGTTGCCAGATTTCGCTTTAATGGTCCGTGATGCCCTCGTGTGACGAGCCTGTGCTCTGTTTGATGGCGCGCCTCAAGTTCCTCTGCCATGCCACCTTGCGCAGTGTGTCCTTCGTGCCCACGAATGCCGTTACATCGAGTGATGGCCAAACCCTTATGCCCAGCTTGTGCGTAGCGCTCATGCCATCATGAACTGCATGACTGTAGCCGGCAGGCTCGGCCTCTGCAATCGCCCGCTCTGTGCAGCAAGTTGGGCCCTACCTATTACTTACCCACATACATATATGCAAGTTTGTACAACGACTTGTTTACGAAGCAGATATTGGTATACAGTTAACTAAATAGATATGCGTGTATATGTGTATACATACAGATGTATGTATGTGTTACAAGTTTGTATTCATAAATAGGCATGCGCACATACACACACACACACATACGTACACAGGTAGACGTATATGAACATGTGTATGTAGACGCAGATAAATAGAAGTTTGTATGTATGTGTACCTATATATATATATATGTATGTAGATGAGTGAACACATGTAGTATGAGCAGAGTTCGCAATCGCCTGGTTCCTTGCAGCAATTGCATGCTTGATATTTTCTGTTTATTAGACGCTGGCAGTGCTGGATTTCGTAAACGTACGACCTCGGCGAGTTCAACGGTATCCGAGCTTGAGGGGTCCAGAGATTAGGGTGCCAGAGCTTTACCGCTTCGCGACCTTATTGTTAAACGATTTAGCTTTTGGAGATGCCGGCCCGAAAGTAAGTTCACGGTTGCTAGGCCCCAAATGAAATGGCACCCCACCCCCCGCCCTGGGCAGGGCACTGTGTGCCAGCATCAGCGGTTGGAACATTGGAAAGGGCCGGTAAGATTTGCATGTACAGGGTTTGGCACCGAGAGGAGCCAGGCTGAAGTGGGAAGAGAGACTTGTGCTCAGTTCCTTTCTGCCTTATCCTACTGCTGTTCTTGTATTGATCTTCTTATACCATCTTAATTCGCCTTGTTTGAGTTGACTAAATCAGATTAGGATACATATTGTTCCAGAATATACGATTACACCAATATTATAGTGTTTGTAGTAGTTCTGAGTTCTGAGACCCCTTTTTCCCAGGTGGCAGCGCAAGCCTGGTGACGAGGACATCGACCTCGAGCGGAAGCTGGCTGCCATGTTTTTGGTTGCAAAGGTCAGGGTCTAGGGTCGGTAGGGTTTTAGACCTCGCAGTACTGCAGTCATATCAAAATTAAAGAGTCAACTTAGTACCCGCAGACTGAAAGTGCTTTATGCTGCAACTCCGTATGTCCGCAAGTGTCATAGTTTTTCTCTGCCTAGTGGCAGCTGATGAAGCAATAAGCCCAGTGACACTCACGACAGGTTTGACATCGACATTCTGGGGCCTGGTGAGCAACGACGAGGGTGCCTTCTCTTTGTTTTCCGACTGCCTGGCCTAGCTTGCAAGTGTGTCTGACTGCCACCCAAACTCCGCTCTGGACCAAGGCTAGGTCGCAGTTGCATGGAGTGTGTTCCACACCTTCTTCTCTGCTCATGACCTGAGAGTATCGTTTTCCAGTTGGACCAACTGGACTCTGCTACAGATACCTCTTCAACGTGAAGCCCACGCGCCATTATGATGAAGGAGGCCGTGCACTCTCAGGCTGTGGTGGGAGACAACACGCCCAGTCACTTGCTAGCTTGTTTCCGCCCTTCCGACCATACTCTGAGTGTGCATGCTCGGTTGCTCCTTTGGGCCTGAGCTGCTGTTTCGTAAAGGTGTATGGTGATCAGGCTGACATTGCACATACAGTCCAGTGCGGGGTCTCCGCTCGAAATCCGTGAGATGCTTTACGATGCTTGCCTTGCCTGGGAAAAGGCTCCACCCTAAATGCCTCAGATGCGCTGCGCAGCCTTGGTCTCATGCGCGAGGCTTGTTGCTTTACTTCCTTCAGCGCGACGGCCGGACTTTCCGCAGCACCTTTCTCTACAGGCCACAACTTTGTGGGAATGAAGGCTAGTCGTATATAAGTCTCCGTGAATAGTTCAGTCTGTAGTCATCCACTGTTTAGGATGTAGACTCCGAGTTAAAGTCGCTTGAAATTCGACTGTGTAAGGTGTACAGGCGTTTTGAGAGGTGGCTTTCTAACAGATTGTGTGTGTGTCTGTGCTGCATAGACCTCGTGGCAGCCCTGCTGGCTCAAGGCATGCTAAAACAAATGACAGACTGCGAGCTGATGCCAGCCGCTTGACACAGTCGCGTTTCGAGATGCAGCTGGCAGGAGTCCCAATCCGTTCCACCACCTCCAATTCATGTATCCAAAAGTTCCTGAAAACATTCCTGATCCTGTGAGCTTGCGCTCAACGCCTCTATCACGCCGAGCAGCAAACACTCCCCACCAGTTCTGCACGGACTCGCAGGTGATTATCCTCGAAGCCTTGGGCGAGCCCTCAAAGCCTGAACCCTACAATAAAGGTCAGGTAAGCAAGACTTCTGCTTCACTTTCCCTAAACCTGCGCAGCCTGCGCATGGCGGTGGCGCCGGAGCCACCGCAGCCGAGCCTCTACGGACCCGGGAAGACGCCTTTGCGGTCTGCGGTCTGAAAGCGCGTTCGGAAAGAACTGTATATATGAGTTTATCTATATTCAATTTCTTATGTTTTATATATATATATATATATATATAACTGTACTGTGTTACTGGGCGACATCGTGTGTGGGGCAGTTGGTTCCGTTCCGATGGTATAGCTTCCAGTGGACTCAAGCGCAGTGCCGCTGCTACCTATCCACGTGTCATGATTTGTTGTTGTTCGTTTGTTCTTTCTTTGGGGCTGCGGGGGTCCGTCGGCACGAATCGTACTGGGACTGCTGACTCGAGCATCAGGCCCACGCTGACCCATGCCTCTCCTAGTGTTAGGGTTTGGCAGGATTTAGGGCCAAGATAACCAGGTCTCGAATTGGAGAGGTCTTGGCTCGAGATAGGAACTTGAAGCATTTATGAAGGCATTTGCATTTCTGGAGCTGACTTCCTGCGGGCACACACACACACACACACACGGCAAAGCAAACATGCAAGCATCCACACATGCACGGACACGGACATAGCGAGACACACACACACACAGAGACACAGACACAGACAGAGACAGACAGACAGACGGACAGAGACCGCAGACAGACCACCCGCAGATCTTGCGATTGATCGATAATAATAGAAAGACCGGTGACTAGTGATAGACTCATAGACTCGCGCAGGACGCCAAGCCGCCCCTGTGGCAGGGCAGGCAAGTTCCAGGGCCGTTGTGTCAATCACAGTCCTGTCCAGGGTTTCGGAGTGTCGGATGCTGTTTGGTTTCATAGTTCTGCGACCCTAACTCCGAATCAGAATCTGACGACTTCCATTAACACCCTGCAAATCCTCAACCCCAAATCCAGCTTACAAGGAGCGAGCCACCTCGAAGCCAAAAAGCACCCAAGCAAGCATGAACTAAGCCCCGGCTTCTTGACATCTGATATACTGTAGAGATTGCCAGGCTGCGTCTTGATATGGCTGAAACGGCAACACCTGACACGACACCCTCGGCTCGTGCAGGCAGCATGGAGCGAGCCGCTCCCCGAAGAAGACTTGAATGTTCAGGCGGTGAGGTAGCTCGGCTGAACCCTAAGGGCAAGTGGGATACAGTAGAACCGATTAAATGTGGGCCGAAACCCTCAACAGCTGGCATTCAAAGCTGAGTTTGTGGTTTCTGAAGGTCAAGGGCCAGTGGCAACGAGATTTTGATACAGAGAGCCGTCGCTCACTCTTCAATCGCATTCAACAGTCCTTGACGTTCATCTTGAGCTGCTTCGTAGATGCAGACATCAATCGTTGCCCGAGCTTCTGACGAGTCGTCCTTTTAGGTGCAAGGCGGCCCGAACAAGATAGATGGAACCTTCGGACCGGCAGAAGGCGTTCATGGGGGCTCAAGTTCCCGACCACCGGCATAGTGCAAAGCAACAAGCTTAGGACCGTCTTAGCACGTCAGGCCCTAGTGAGAAACTTAGAGCAAGAACCCGAAGCTCCAAACCCCTCAACCATGAAGCTTGCGGCTCTTATGAAGCAGTGAGAACAAGGCAGCTCAAGAAGATGCTGCTCTTCTGCGGACTCCTCACCTTTGCCTCCGTGGCTTTCGGCTTCGGAGGTCGCTCTTTGCCCTCGCCGTGGAGCCTCGACTCCGATGTCTCGAAAGCTTAGCAGATGGATTGCTGGGCAAAGAGTTTACAGTTTAGGCGATATTCATCCTCTAGGTATGCGGAACACTTGGGGTATAAGAGCTGAGGGTTCAGATCTGGGTTTGTGGCTGAACGCAGCTCAAGGTGTCCCGTTTATGGTGGCGCACGGGTTCCGACGTTGAGGTGCTATGCCAGGAATCTCAATACATAGATGTGCCTTCATGCATGGATTCAAGGTTCATGATATCATGCATGCATGCATGCATGCATGCATGCATGCATGCATGCATTCATGCATGCATTCATGCACGCATTCATGCACGCATGCACGGATGTATGTATGGATGTATGCATGTATGTATGACTGTTGGAGTCATTGCCATGAAAGTGGAACTGAATGTCATGTATGAAGGTAGGGCGGAGCAACAGCAACGAAAACAGCAATCACAACCATCACTACTACCACCACCACCACCACCGCCGCCGCCGCCGCCACCACCTCCACCACCATATCGACGGCTACTGCGACGAGAATGAGGATTAGTTCGACGACGAGGCGGTGGAGCAGGAGGAGAAGAAGTACGAAAACTGCCTACCGATAGCCGATATCCAACCGCTGAAGCAAGTCAAAGCAGCAGGGCTAACCGTATCCTGTCGTCCCTGTCATGTTCTTGCTTCGTCGTCATCACCATCATCGCGGCCGTCGCCAAAATCATCGTTTGTCCGTCATTCCGGAACCGCCTGCATCCGCCTGCCTGTCTATCATCGCAAGAAGCCAGGCTTCATTTCCGAACGCATGCAGAGGTTGCACTCGCAAGATGCACTTCTGAACCATTCGAAGCATCTCCGGTACAGGCAAGGACTGATTATCCATCCAGAAAAGTTGGATCCCATTGACTTCGACCCATCCCTTCCCAGGAAGGAGCTCGTGTACACAGGGGGGTTCGCCTTGGCTCCCATTGGGCTGTGGCTGCCAGATGCTTACACTTGAGATCCCTTGGGAAGCGTAGGGCGACGCATTTCAGCTACGTCCATCTGGAGCAGTTCTGGAGCTTGTAATCACTTGCCCCGTGGTTTTCTGTTTATTACATTAAGCACCCCCGAATACAAAAACACTCTGGGCCAATCCTCCCGAGATCATCCCTGCCCTGTAAAACCTAATTTGCATTAGGGGGTCGGGAGCAAGAGCAGGAGCAAGAGCAAACCTAAGAGCGGGAGCAAGAGCAAAGGCAAGAGCAAGAGCAAGAGCTGGAGTAAGAGCAAGCGAAAGAGCAAGAGTAACAGCAAAAGCAGGAGGAAGAGCAGCAGCAACGGCAAGAGCAAGAGCAGCAGCAAAAGCCCGCGAAGGAGCAAGAGCAAGAGGCCTCAAAACTGACAATAGAGATAAACATTTCATAATAAAAACACCTTCCGAGTTTTTATGTGCCCCCCTTCCATTCAATATTAGGCGGAAGGGATAAGTCATGAGCTCGTCGATACGGTTTTGCACTGTGCTGCGAGGCTGACGCTCTTTGAGATGGTTTTTTCAGTGTTTAGGAAGTACTTTGGCTAAAGCATGGTTTGCCTTTGAGCAGCAAGCCCGAGTGCATCTGGTTCATGGTGCGAAGTCGACATTGGGCTGTGGTGCCAACGGCTACTCGCGCTGGGTCATTAGCAATGTCATCGCCGTGGCCTGAAATTTTCATTCTGGCGGCTTTGCTGTGCCAAGGTTCGCACTGCGGCTGCTTCCTGCGAATCTCCGTACGCCACGCACAGTACCGATGCCTAGATGCGAAGACCGCGTTTGGGCGCAGGCACATGCGGGAGAGTCTGGCTGCGGGGCTTAGGGCTCTGAAGCCGCGTGCACAAGGCGTATTCGGGGATAGCCGACAACAGCTGGTCTGTAACTGCCTCGTTCAATCCGGCTAACTCGAGTCTCGGCCTGCCATTTTGATTCATCTGCCGGGGCTCCCAGCTCCTGCAAGCTTTGAGACATAGTTCCTTCAGTTGTGTCTCACCGTCGCAAAGCAGGGGCTTGTATCAATCATGATGCCCAGCTCAGTTGTCGTGGTAGAAGAAAGACCATTACCGAGATTCCAAGTTGCGAGCTTGTTTGCCTCCCTCTGTTGGGTCCTGTCGGACCGCAGCGCGCAGGTCACCTACGCGCTTCTTCAGACAGCGCCGCTCCAGTTTAAGAAAATCAAGGTGGCTGGGACTGCTCCATGTAGATCTCAAATCTGCCTCTGGAATATAGTTGATGGACAGGGCATCTTATCGACGTGTGGGTGCGTGTTGCGTCGGCCGGCGACGTTGGTGGCACACTTTTTGTCGAGTTCACAGGCCCTTACAGTAGCCCTATAGAGGCACAGGCCGAAGCACGAGGAAGCCCTGAAGTGTTCAGTAAAAGAGGTCTCTGTGGGACCTGATGGCAGCGGGTGCATCACTGTTCAGGCCTGTATCGCACCCGGCAAAGGTTTGCCTTGATGACTTGTGGGTTGGGTAGGAGTTTTGGAGTTTGGGGTGTCGAGATGTGAAGAGTCCGCTGTGCGGCTCTGCGGTTTGCGAGGGTTTCTTGGTGTTCAGATTCTCGAGCAAGGATGTGGGCCCAAGCACATCCATTTAGGTGAGCCGTTGTCGGTAGTCGAAGTTCTCCCTACAAGGCGAGTTTGTATGCCAGTTTGGACAGTCCTGAATCCTGATATGATACTGCTACGGGGAATGAACCCCTCGCCCGGCCACAGCCCAATGTCACGATGCTGCGGAGATGCTACTTTGGAAAGGCAAGCGCTACGAGGATGTGAAGTAATCCCGTCAAAAACACGAACAGAGTCCGTGGACTCCACTGCAGCATGATCCGGTACCCTCCCAAAGTGTTGAGTCTTCGAGACTGTCACACCAGGCCTGGAACAGAACTTGTAGCACTCCTGGAGCGGTTTTTCAGCGCCTCCTTAGTCCTCAGTCCTTGTGATCCTCTCTCCTAAAATGTCCTCCTAAAATGTCCTGTGGATCAGATCATGGGACTCTGTGTGTGAGCATCAGCCCGTGCAGGCACCAGCACCATCGTGCAATGTCAGTGTGACTCGGCCGGACTTGATGTGAGTAGGAGTAGGAGTGGAAGGGGGAGCAGCAGCAGCAGCAGCAGGAGGAAGAGGAGGTGGAGGAGGAGGAGTAGTAGTCGTAGTCGTAGTCGTAGAAGTAGAAGTAGAAGTAGAAGTAGAAGTAGAAGTAGAAGTAGAAGTAGAAGTAAGTAGAAGCAGGAGTAGAAGTAGAAGTAAGTAGAAGCAGGAGTAGAAGTAGAAGTAGGAGTAGAAGTAGATTATAAGTAGATGAGAAGTAGAAGTGGTAGAAGCCTAGCGGCAGCAGCAGAACCAGCAGTAGCAGTAGCAGGAGGAGCAGGAACTTCTTCAGGTCTTGGTGAGTATGAGTGTGTAGATTAACCTGTACACCCTGGAAATGCATCGTCCAAGCTTCAGTATCGGCAGACACGCAAAAAAAGCAGCGGCCGAAGTGTGCGAGGTGTCCTCCAGCTCGAGCTGCAGCTGCTGCTTGGCAGACTTCACCACGGAGGCGCCTCGGCAACTTCCCAAGCTCTTCGTGTCTGATCTTTCTACGACTGGAGGCTTACTTGCATGGCTGCCACCGAGCGGGAGGATACAGACAGAAGTCACGTTGCCGAAGCTACTCATTTACTTTCTGCCGTTCTGTCGTGGGTCTCGGTGGTGGGGTCTTTTATCACAACGAAGACTTCCCCTAAATCACATGTCAATAAGATTTTCGTGAGTACTGAGCAACATTCAGATCATGACAAGTTTATTCCAAATGTTTTCATCGGCCCGAGCCTGCACCCTCAGATTTAGAGACGCTTGTAGCAGGGCATGTATGTGTACCATCATGTACCAGCGTGCTCATGTCCACGCTTATCCACACACATCGGAGGATGTACGGAGATCGGGACTTAGGCCGCGGCACTAGTAACGGAACTGATTAGTTCATGCAAGCATGTTTATGTTTCAATCATATGCGCATATACACGTTTGCCTGCTGACACAATAGGAAAGATGATGCTGGAACGCTTGAGCATGATGTATACACATTTCCTATGTGCCCCTTGCCTCCGCACCTTTCCGCATATACCGAATACAGACACACATACATGCACGAGGACATGTACACATGCCTGCATGGAACACTGCCAGTGCAAACGAACACACGAGCTCAAACATGAAAGAAGGCCGTTAAACACATACAAGCACTCGCACGGGCACCTGCACTCTACACATTCCAGCGGATGTGTGCCAGCATAACATTCGTGTATGCATGCATGCATGTATACATAGTAACCTGAATTTTCGATTCATTGAGCAAGCAATGCTGTAGACATTTGCAAACTACACGTGCTACACAATCACTTCAAGCATACGCTCATGCGCACGCCAGCACAGCCACACACAACTTCACAAATTTGACAACGGCATACTCTAAACTCAAGCCGGCAAGTGCAACTTCTGGGTTTGCGATCAGTCCCAACTTGCCGTCCTCCGCTGCGGACACTACTTCTGCGAGGCCGGCAATGCCGCATGTGTCCTGCCAAGCACTTCTGGGTGTATATACATGCGGCTGGGAAGCGCCAGCGTGTCCAAGCCACTTCCCAAGTGACCGCAAATTTCTGAAGCAAGACGTTGGATGTACTTCACCCGGCATTGACTTGCATGCGAATGGCGATGCTTGTAGGAAGCAGTTGTAGCACTAAATCACGGCTGCGCAATTCGAGTCAAAACGTAATACAACACGACCATCACATAAAACGCCAGTATCATTATTGCAAGGAGCCCTTATCAACATATTATCCGCGATCACCATCGCCATCAACGATGACCACCACCTTCAGCATCCGCAGCAAACCTCGCAGACCTGCATCACCGAATGGGCGATCTCTGGTCACGCGAAGTCTCGCTTCTGCCCGGCATGTTGGCAGCATAGGGTGTTGGACGTCAAGTTGCTTGGGGTTTCGGGTTCATGGTTCTGAGGTGTTGATTCAGGCTTCTGGTGCAGGTTTCGAGTCGAAGGCCGCATTGTTTTAAGTTTAGTTGCTGAGGGGTGCGCAGGATCCGCCGTACCTACGGTAGAACTCTACCATGCAGCATCCCGTCAAGGTATGTCCTGTTTGCTACCACTCAGAGATCTGTCGTGTCGGTATCTTTGAACGTTGAGGAATGCTAGAGTGCCGGGCGTGTATTTTGTACAGCAGCAGCAACAGGAGCCGCCTACAACACTTCGTTGATGGCCTTTGCGAAGTCGGGGGGATTTCCAACCTGGAGCCGTGTAAGAATCGAGACACAGAGCGAAGCTTCCTGACTAGAAGTCAGCAAAACGCAGGACCCTTGTTAGACAGAAGCCCCTTCGTAACCTGTCGCGTTTCGAGGTTTGCCGTGCCGACTTTGGCATCGAGCCAGCTTAGCGGGGCGCAGCTTCCGACTAGCTGTTCACTTTCCACGCATGGCCTCCGGTTACAGAGCTTACATCCTTGAATCACCTCATTTTGGTTTCTGCTCTCGTGGTTGTTTGTGATGGTGGTTGTAACGGTTCCGGTAAGTTTGGAGATTGTGTTGTTTTAATGCGTCAATTCCGCGGTTTGTGATGGGTAGAATCCTCGCAGGCATACAAGACTAGATGGATGATTTCTACATTTATGATTACTGCATCTGTGCGCTCTGGAGCTGTGATACTTCGAAACTCCATGCATAGAAGGCTAATTAGCTAATTAGCCGGGCAGGTATCCTCGAAGCAACAGCCTGGATCGTTCGAGAACACTCAACCTGAAACTCTAGCAGCTGATTCACAACTCCCAAAGCGCCGTGTTCTCAGTCATCGGAACGCCAATGCGGGGAGAAAAAAGATCTTGGCTTAGTGCAGCCTCGGATCCTGCCAGCAACTGTTGACCTGTATCTAGTGTTTCTAGATATTTGGCTTGAACTATAGCAGGAGGATTCCAACGCCGGGACCAACCTCGACAAGCTTTTGATGGCTGAACCCGCCGTTGAAGTACATGCTTCAGACCTCCTTGTAGCGTTGTTGAATACAGTTATCCGCCTTGGTTGGAAGCTTGGCAAGCCTCTAAACACATCCTGTTTTCGTCAAGCATCCCCAAGCCGTAAATCACAACATCCTGAACAGACAGCTGCAACCCCAGAACACTCGGAATTCTAGAGGCTTACTCAGCTGGAGGAAAACGCCCCGCAAAAACAAAAAGAACGCTCAACTGCGAAGCCATGTGAAGGCCATACTTCTTCGTGCAGGTGAAGAAGGGAGGCCACAAGCAGTACGTTGTGTTTTTCTCACTATGCATCTCACCTTCCTTGCCAGCATCATTGTCATCATCCGAGCCGCTATGTGTCTCCCTGACCTTCAGCAGTGTCATCACGATCACAGTGGTTCGTGTTGTTGGTAAGAACCTCAGCATTCGGATGGGGATTGCGTGAAAGTATGCACAAGTCGAACTTGTGTTATTTTCGTTTGTTATGCTTGTTGTGCGTAATGTCAGCAGATCAATGTGAATTCTGTCGATGTGGCTCTACTTCTCTTGCATGCATTTCCCTGCCTTCGCTAATCTTCACTACTAACCGTGGCACGAGCAAGCGTGCTCTAGGATGAGCAGGAGCCGCAGGGACAGGAGTAGTAGGCTCAGCAGCAGCGGCAGTAGGAGTAGGAGTAGGAAATTTTCTGAGCAGGGCTACGAGTGCTCGAGACATTGGGCTTGGGTGTACAGTGACGGGCCTTCCATCTATGCCCCTTTATCTTTTATCAATGTCGGCGGTTGTCTTTGTCGGGGCGAGGTCGATGCATTAGAGGCCTCGGTCAAACCATGTGTCCTGCTAGCACGGGATTGGCTGACAACTTCTCCTGGAGATGAAGACCTTTCCCAGCCGACGAACACAACTCCTTGCGTTGGCGAGGAGATTTTCGGAGTACTTGCATGTAAAGCCTTTCGGTCTCTGCAGGTATCGACACAATGCGCGACATACTGGCGCAGAGGTTCGAGCAAGAGGTGCGCTTCAAGGTACTTGTCAGAATTCCGCGAAGTCCGAAGGTCGACTTTCTGGACCGCATACTTGCACAGAAACGACCCACTGAACTCTTTGCAAATCATGTCCCCAGCCCCATTCAGAATCCTGTCCAGGCACCCTCACAATTTTCACTCCCAGTTGTCCTGAAAACTTGAGTCTGGACCCCACCTTCTAGCCTGGACCCATAACCCACGGCCTTTCGAACTGCATGAACCAAGTTCCTGCAGATCTCAGCATGGCTGCAGCACGTTACTCCGATGATGTTGAGTAATACTACCGCGATTGCCGTTTGAGTCTTCCGCTTCTTGAGTCTCAGTGTTGTTGTTAGTGTTGCAATCATCATCATTCGTGTTCTTAGTGCGAATTCATACTCAGACACTTATCGCATCTATGGCTCTATGGTCGCATGCCCATGGAGACTTTCAGCGGCAGGGAGTTATCGCCACGATCGTCGAGAAGGAAGATCTCGCTCTGGAGGTGCGAAGCAACAGCTTTGGGTTCAGGGTTGGATGTGTGGGATTTTGGGCTTTGGGCTGTTGTTTGTTGTTGCTCTGTGGCAGAGTAGAGTCGGTCTTGACGATAGACTAATGCTTGCAGAGCTTGTTGGGCTTTGATTATGAAATTCAGGCCTAACTGGGTTGCGGGACCGACGACGACCGGCCGAGACTGAGACTTGAGGCTGCTGGCCTCATACGTCATGGCAGTTGGGGGCTTTCACCAGTTTCCTCCAAAGGGGCCAAGCTGGGGGTGTTCTTGGCGATAAGAGCAAGGTGATAACATGCTCCCCCCGCAAGCAAAAGCAAACCTGTTGCAGCGGCTCCCGTTCCACGACATACTGGTGTCGTTGGATCTACATGCTGCGCCAGGATCACATCGTCGGCAGAAAGCGCCCCCTCATCAAACTCTCCTTCCAGAGCACAGAAGGTGCCAACAAGGCTCGGCTTGCGCAGCTCGCTTTTGCTCGATTGTGGAAAAATTAGAAGCTATTCGATTTGGGTTTGGACAGCATGTTTGCAACTTACCTCCACCCGTTGGCCAGGAACTTGTACTGGCCAGGACAAAAGCTTTTCTGAATTCGACATCTCCGTTGGCGTGTTACACCGTTGTTTTGCGGTCTTCGTGAAAGCCACGTTCTGGAAAGCTACCTGGTGCATTCATCTGATCAAAGTCGGGTGGGTCTCTTTGCATTGCAAGCGTTGCACACGGCTTTTGTGTTTGTTCTTGCGCGCAAGCAGGCACGCATGGAGCTGTTCAAGGACATGAAGGCAAAGAGGTTGGCCCTCCTGCCGCAGCCCCCTACTAGGTTTCGTGACTGTGTGCAATCGGCGATCCCATGCAAGTAGCCCTTCAATAGCAGAAGGCTGCACTGGGCCTCCTTGATTCGTCTTATTTGTTCTTAGTCCGCCCTGGGCATGTTCATCGAGTCTTGGGGTCCGTACAGATGGACAACCTGGAGTGTGATTTCAAATTGTGTAGATTCAGCAACATATATATATATATATATGCATGAAGCAGGGTCGGCACTATGTCAAGCGAATAGATTCCGAGACTCCGGCGATAGCTCTCTGAGGCATAAATTGAAACACGTGGTGCTTCTTATCTTGACCCTTAGCTGAGGGAATTCAAAGTGTCGTGCTCCTGAGCAGAGTTGTAGTTGTTGTGGTTGCGTTGTTCATCTGACAGCGCCAAGAGGAAACTGCCAGGTCCATAGCTACCCGGAGCGTATGTCAGACCGTGTAGATCTGAAATGCATACATTACGCATGTGTCAAACACGGCCTTGGCCAGCCTTCGTTCAGATCACGGAACCTTACCCCTGATCCTTTCCAGTTTCTTACTGATGAGTTTAGTGCGCGGCCCCCGATATGATAGACGTTTCGGTTTCTTCCGGCCCCTCTTCTGTGCCTTCATCGCTGAGAATGCGTAATGCATGGTGGCGCGTCCGGGGGGGGGGTATCCAAGTAAAGGTCCTAGCTGGGGAACATGATACAGAGATATGCATGACATTTCGCAACATGTAGTGCCGGGCTCGTCGCACTTCTGGCCTGGGCTCGAGAGACGCAGCTCGTGAAAACGCTGCCTCTTGCCTGCTGAGCTTGTCCTGAACTCAGAAAGTCTGTTAGCTGTAGTGCAGGGTTGTCGGACTGAGGCCAACGACTTTTGGTGACATTCGTATGACATTTGCAACTGCAAAGCCCGAACATGCTGAACCTAATTGTTCATGCAGCTCCAGCCCTCGTCACTGAAGGCTCACGATGCCGGGCACAAATTGCCAGAAAGCAATCGTGCCACACTGGCTGGTTTGGCAGAGCCCGCTTTAGTCTGCTTGCATGAGGTAACGGAACAGTGCTAGGCACTGCTAGGCTTAGGTGCGTCTGTGATGAATTCCGAAGCAGATGGCGTAAGGTGCCCCAGCGTCTAGAGCTGCTCCCAGCCCTTCACTTAACGCCGGTCCTCTAGGCACTGCTATCGAAAACTTTGTTCAGATGTTGGGTGCGACGTGCGCACCAAGAGCAGAACGACCGTGTGGAACACGGTTCGGGAACAGGCGGAATAGGCATAGCAGGAACTGAAACGGTTTGATCGCCAGTTTTCTTCTGGCTGCCCTTTGAGGGCTCAAGGGCCTTCAAGGGTTTAGGCACGAGAGTGGCAGGCTTTGGTCCGAGAAAAATGGCGGTGCCAACCCAGAGGAAGCCGTGTCTCGTCTGCGGATCCTGACAGATCCATATATAGAGCCCTTTCGAGGATGATAGGGGATTACGAGAAGGATTCGGTCTTGGGGTGCATGAATGGAGTATGGTAGACTTGACGGGTCCGTGTACATACTTGGGTTATTTGGGGGTCGGGAAAAGCAGGCAGATGGTATGTTTCCAGTGGAGCCCACAGAGAAGATCGAACCCCCAAGCTGTTCTACCAAGGTGCAGGGATCTCTTCATAGTCGTCAAAACAGTGAACCATAATTTTCCTCTGGATCATCTTCAGCCTCATCCTCACCTTACCCTTATAGTCTTCGTCGTTACAACCATCGTGGCTAAGACCTCTATGTCGGTTGAAACATGGTCCGCCAATCCACAGACCAAGGAGACGGTCAAGCTTCTCTGCGCGGCGCTCAGAGGGCCACGGCGTCGACTAAAGTTCGCGTTGTCTCCGAGTCCTGGTTCGTGGTCATGGTTGCCTTGTCGAGTGGTTTGGACAACCATCCCTACAGTATCGTGAACCTGCACATAGGCATGAGTCCACCGATCGAGAAGATGGACTCCTCGCTCAACCAGCTGGTCAATGTGAAGCTGCTGCCTCGGGCTGCACGTGAGGATTTGGAGTTTGACGACAACCAATTCAACCCTCACGTTTCAGACACTACATCCCAGGATTAGCGGGTATGCTTCGCCACAGGCGTGCATGTAGTTACTATAACGTAGTACTCGGCCACTTCCAAGTCGTGACATGTGACTACTAGGCGAAACGCTTTTGGTCACGGCATCGCTACCTTCAGCCAGCTTGATGAGGCATCTAGCGCTGTCCACCAACTGCATTGACAAGATGATCTCCCTGCCAGCCTTGAAGAACATCGAGGTGCATGCGTGATATGCTTCTGGCCTCTGGTGTAGTCGCAGCTTCACCATCTGTAGGAGTACGGGCTGTCTGCCAGAATGGTGGTCATTCCCTTGCTGACGTTTCTCGTGCGTAGAACTTGAGTTGTTCGAGGTGCTGTCTCTGGGCCGGAACTTGATCAAGAAGATCTCGGGACCCTGCTGCTGTCACAGAGGGCTCAAGCTAGCCGACAAACTCGCAGTAGCACATCGGGGTTCGAATGGTAGGCGCTAGCAGTAGCAGCGACAGCGGCATCAGAACGTGCTTTGGCAGTCGCGATTTCCGTTGTCGTCACAAAAGTCAACCTGCTGAGAGAAGCAGAAACACTAGTTGTCGTCGTCTGGTCGTCGTCGTAGTTGCAGTAGTAGTATCAGCAGTTACGAATAGTACGAGTAGTAGTGAACGGGCCGTGGGCTTATACTAGGCCGACTCCGTCATCGCTTTGGATTTCGTTTCCTTTCACGTTTCGATCCGGCTATGTCACACCCAAAATGGCCGTGACTCTACATTTTGCCGTGGGAAAGGCTTGCCTATGACTAACCACAAGCACTCCGAACAATGAAGTCTTGTGACGTAACAGATGAAGGATGTGTCCATGAAAAGGCACCTAACCGAAGCTACTCCAAATATTTATGTCAAGACATAAGAATACCAGCAGTCCCTCGGAACGCAATGTCTATGACAGAATCATGCCGCACAAACCTCTCTTTCAGCTTCGACTTCAGATGGGACTGCATCGTGTCATAGGTATGCTTGATCGCGTCTTCTGCGGTGCGTCTCGTTCCTGTAGTTCAGCGAGTTCCGACAAACAACTTATTCCAAAGGGATATCTCGATTTAACCAACCGTAGTAAAACACAAGTAAACACGGTCGCTCAAGTAGTGCTCGTCAAGGCTCTTCTTATGATTCCAATGCTCGAGGCTTTGGCAAAATGTGCTTCTTCCAAGCCGGAAACCGAAATGTCGAAGCCCACAATGCACACGGATTGCTTGTAACGGCGCAGGACTTGAGGAGATTGGCTCCACTCTCAAGTGCGACCCTGAAGTTGCGTTGGGTTTGGGCGTGGGGTCTTGCGGGTGTCGGATGGTGTTTTGAGACACCTCGAAAACTGAAGACCCTTTGCACAAGCGCATAAGTCTTCAGTATCTGATGCATGGATCACTTTGCCTAGTCTTGATAGACTTCGCCAGGCCTCCTTAGACAGCAGGCAGCACCACAAGTAGCGCCACGACTGGAATTCAAGAATCGCAGCGGGCGGACAGACTTGATTTCCGTCATTTCGGCATCGCTCCCTCCGAAGGTTGATTGACCGTACAGAAGCTTGTGCGACCTTTGGTGGTTTTGTTCGCGATGTTACTAGACCCTTCGTGTCTTTGCCCAGGGAGCTCTGGATCTCATACAACCAGATCTCTGCCCTGGATGGCCTTGCGCCATGTGTTCCTGGGCACCAAAATGGTGGGATCCATGTTTTAGCATAGTTCTGCTTGCCTGAGGAAGGGAAACTTGCAAGGACCCTGACGGCGTATGTAGAAGCAGTTGCAAAGCCTGTTTGGACAAGGGATGGAGATATTATGCGTGCATGTCTTGCGTTTATCCCTTAGTGCAAACTTAGCCTGGTACGGGGAGGAAGCATGTAGCGGTCTGATGAGATTGTCATGATGGTGTTCGTACACAGACGCAGCACCCCCCCTTACACATGTGTCACCTATATTTAAGTATTTCCGTGTTGGGCAGGCTGTTGGGATCCAGACATCCCATCAGGCTTTTGAAAGAAAAACTACCGCAGGTCAAGCTAACGACTCTCTTCATCTCGAACAACAAGATCAAGGCGGACGACTGAACTAGGGGCCGGAGTTAGAGTTGCCGTGAGGTACGTAAATCTGGAAGCCAAGACTCATGCCTTCAAGCCCTTATGCTTGAAGTCTAGACCCTTGAACTTTCAGCCGCCCGACCGGGGAGCAGGATTGGCCAGAGTTGGACAAGCTCCAGGCGAACCAGGAGCTAAACCGATGTGTTTGTGGCTGGGGTGCAACTCATGGCGACCGGGTGTCTTGAGTCGACATGGGTTTGGGGAACACAAGTGGGAGCTGATCTGCTGAGTGCAGATCCATCCAGCCATGAAGGACCTGACAAACGTCCTTTTCTATGGGAATCCCATCTACGAAGGCACCTGGACGTGGATGTTGCGTGATGCACACAATGCGGAACCCTAGATTATACCGTCAACGCGCGAAGAGTGAGCAGCATCGTTGTTGGAACTTTGTCGTGCAGAGGCGGCTTGAGCCAACGACTCTCAGGGGGAAGACCCGAAGCATGCTCAGACAGAACAACAGCAGGCAGCATGTCTTCTTTGTTGCAGCAGTCATGATATCAAGAGCCAAAAACCAGATTGTTGCTTCAGCACATGTTTGTTTCGACTTGAGCTGTTCTTGATTTTGTTGTGTTAATGTAAAATAAGAGAAGGTTGCTTACACACGGAATTCGGGGAAGTCACGAACATGAAGGTCCGGCCACTTTGGTGTTCCCGTGGGTGCCTCTTGCATTTTAGTGCGAGGGGATCTCAAGGCATTCTTCAAACTCCCTTTGCCTAAGACCAGGGCCCGGAGTTCTGACCTGCAAGCAGAGGCCTTACCAAGAAGCAGGCGAGACCCAAGGCCTGCCGGGTCTGTGGGAAACACCGGCAATGATTTGTCTGCACTGGACCCCCTTGAAGTTGCACTGCAGCATACTGAGTTGGTGGCAGAAACGAGAGTGTGTGCTATGTTGGAACGTGTCGCTGCCCAGCACTTTCGCTTTCGGAATTCAGTTCAGTGTCGGTTGGGAAGCTTACAGTCTCCATGCTGTTGTTGATGGACCGTTTTACGAATCCAGCAACACCACCGCGACAGGCAGCAACACCAGCTTCATGAGTAGCAACAACAACAGCAGGTGTGCCTAGGCTGCAGCACCACCTCCACTACCACCACCAGCAGCGCATGCGCAACCGCCACCACAGCCATCATCAGTCGCAACACCGTCAGGGGCGTGGTGGCTTTTATGGTCATCCTAATGATGGTCGCAGTTGCCGTCATCAGCATTACTTAGCATTGTCGTGGTTTCGTCCCCTGTATCCCTTGTCTTCGCAGTCGTCCCCAGCCTGAGCAGCAACATCACGACCATCAGCATCAGCAGCAATATCACAACTTGCATATTATTCATGTCTATGTGATCTTATGAGAAGGGTCGTGGCACCATTGTTTCGATTTTTTGTTATCGGATTCACCGCCATCGGCGTCATCTTTACAATCACGGCAGGCGTCGCAGTGACAGAAGGTGTGTGCGGTAGCAGTCATGTTTGTGTTTTTGCCACTGCGAAACTAATGCGATGGTGAACTAAGTTTGTACAGCATGTGATGGGAATGGTAATTGACTGTTGTGACAAGAACGGCAAGAGGTTCTGGAGCACCTGCCCAAGATCGCCACTTTGGATGGTGAGCTGCTCACGGGCGACGATGACGAGGATAGCCTAGGGGGGAGCAAGGCTTGAGATGTTGCCAGATGCCTGATTTTTTGTTGCACGTCCTCGGGCAAGCTAAGCGTTTGTGGGAGGGTTTCTGAGCTGTGCTTGAATGCCTAGATTCTATGGTTTTCTTCTGTGCTGCGACACAGATCCCTCAACAAATCCGTAACTCTGGGAGCTATTAGGCCAACAGGCCAACACTCTGAATCACCGAATAATCATCAGGCCGTGGAAGCAAGGGTCCTTTCATCCACAAGCCGTCTCTACAGCCCGCGGTCTGCAAACCCTATATCACAAGCCCCTGACATGCTTTGTAGCCCTTTGTGGCCCATGCAAACGCAGTACTTCCCCAGAGCAAGATGGTTCGGAAAAGACTCGTTGTGTTGTCCCCTAGCAGCTCGAACTGATCCGGAAGTCTGGAAGGGCACCACGCCAGCATTCGCATGAAACGTGGTTTCCCACGCTGCAGAATTGCGACAAGCACAACGAGCAAGCACGACACAGAACCGCCCGAACTGTGTACGAAAGAGGGATATGTTCTTGACCCTGGCAGCTGAAACCAGACATACTTTGGGGTTCTTAGCTTCCAAACCGAACACCGAAAATGTCGGCTGTAGCCAGGCTCAGAGGTTTGCCCCAGCTCCAGACCATACATCCCTGACCCCTACAGACAATGCAGGGTGAGGAAGCCGCAGAGTGATGGGAACGTCCATCGTGGGCTGAGCAGGCAGGAGGACGATCGATTGTGAATGAGGCTGTATGCCGTGGTGTTGGTGGGTTGTTTTTTCTATTGTCGTTGATGGCAGAGCCATCGCTCCCTATCGTCGTTGATGCCGGCGGTACACCTGGCGTCTTTGTGGTTGAACACCGGACAGTAATCGAACACCCTGGGATATATACAACTTCACACCTGTGCCTCCGTAGTTCGTGTTCACGCACACAATAGACACCTACATACACAAGCGTAGAACCGCACATGTCGCATGCACACAAACACGAAGGCATGTGTCAGCCCCAAGCTCCCCCCATACCGTGGAGAACATTACGGTTCAACGATGTGACAGAGGAACTGGCAGGTATCCGCCTCCCAGAAGGCACTTGCCTCTCATCGTTTCTTCTCTTCTCTTCTATTGTCCATCTCTCTATCTACTGCTCGCTCTCTCTCTCTCTCTCTCTCTCTCTCTCTCTCTCTCGCTGTCCCTCTCTATCTTCCGTTTGTAAAGCCAGGGCACAGGTTGATACGTGAAAAACATACATCGGCTTTACATCTGCACGAGGACTATCGTGCATCGTAGTGGTGGAACGAAGATGACGGTCAGGAGGAGACGATGATAAGAAGCTCACTGTTGCGTATTGGGGACGATCTTAGCGGCGACCCCTCGTCTCTCGCCCGGAGTTGCCTACTCTCTCATAGGCCTTGTGCAGACGAAGGTACAGTGTCGGCAGCTGCACGCCTGGCTCCTGCCGAAGACTCAACCACGCAGTGTTTCCAGTGAGCTTCGGCACGGCATCAACGGGGCAAGCATGTCAGTCAGTCCATACAACGTTTACAGCCAACCTTCATTATCACTTCAGTGCCAGCAACATCCAGAAGAACAATGTTCTCGAAGCTGTTTCACGAATTCTGGCACAGTGCACTGAAGATTCTATGCATGCGCTCCACTTGGACAAAGGGTGGCCGTGGCTAGCTGTGAATAATTCTAGGTTGCGAATGTGGACGGACTACATATCGAGGGATTAAAGTGTCTGTCTCAACTACTATGCTGACGGTGAGTATGCAGTGCGAGTTGTTTACTAAATGCTGGGTTGCTTGGCTCCATGTGTTGGTGTCAGTTCTACATATCCTGAGCCTTCGTTTGTTCTTCTCAACTCTTGATCCAAGGCCATCACATCTCCCGTTGAAAGCCTTCAGCGAAGCAGATCGCTCGAAGGGTACCCCCACCCCTGCTGAAAGCTATTTAAAAGTTTCAAACATTGTCCGTGTTTTACGAGCACTAGCACCACACCGAGCGCATGTGCACATGCCCTCGACGGCCGACGGCTCTGATGAAGGGGCCTAAAATCGGCCCTTGTTCCCTTCTTGGTGTATGTAGGCTGTTAGGGTTAGGGTGTCAGGAGGCGGCATACCTCTCCGATCAAGTGTACCCTGCACTTCGCCCCCTCGATCCGCTTTCAGGTTTGGGCAGTGTGAGGTCGCAGTCAGAAGGTTTGTAGAGACATGCTGCGGCATTATCGACATGCCGCGTCCGCGCAAGCGCGCGAAATCAGGAGACGGGTAGAGCATTGGTTTGACGATCTGGTTCTGGGCGATTTAATCCGCAAGGGGGGGTTAGGGCTTTTCCATGCGGCCTGCCTTGGACGAAACGTATACCGGATGCAACTAAGCCTGTAAGCCCTCGCAGGCAATTGGTTCTTTAACCGTAGATTTTCCGAAGTCTTCGTACTGTTGCCCCGAAGCACGAAGATCCCTCGACGGGGATGACTCGTATTGCCTGCGTCGGCGTTCCGAGCTTCGACCTCTGCAGGAGGGCCCAAGCCGCTGCAAAGTTCGGCGAGGCGGAAACCCGACCTGTGGGCTGTTTCAGGAGGAAACTACGGCTCGAGCTGATTACCGCGAGCGGTTTCCGACCGCCAAACTCGAAATGAAGCCTTCGCAACGTGCTCGAGCTTCAGAAAAACCGTCAGAAGAATCACACTGCAGCCCAGAAGACCTGCGGCTGTTCCATAAACAGGAGCACCTGCAATGCCAATGGTTGTGACATCAACTGAGATAGTTGCGGCCGTGCGAGTGGTCGTGCCCAATGTCAACCCATTGTTATCGTCATCATCACAGTCACCAGCCCTGCACCATCCCCGTCATCATCACCACCACAATTGTCCTCCTGATCATCCTCGTCGTCGTCGCCGTCGTCATCATCACCGTCACCATCTTCACCACCATCAGCATCACCGCAAGCGGCTCGGCATCGGCTTCGTTACCATCATTATCATTATCGGCACAGGCATGACGGTCGTTAGTCATCATCATCAGCGTCGTCATCATCGTCCACCTCCTCATCATCACCTTAAACATCATCATTGTCATTCCTTATCGTCTTCGTCATCCTCATGATCGTTATTCTGCTTGCGGTCATCTGCATCATCCCAGCGGCAGGGATGTTACTATTGCTTGAGCGCAACCAAGCAAGCCTAAGCAGCATCATACTTATAACAGCAGCGAGACGGCTGCTGGCGGTACTGTTTTGTCGAGAACCAGAGAGTCATGCCAAGGATTGTCATGCAGAGCCCCAGCAGAAAAGTGAAGCTTTGCAGGCCGAGTCCTCCTTTGCCTTGCGTTGGCCACACCGACGACGAGTCGAACTACGACGAGCAAGGGGTGTTCAGAGGTCAGAACTAGAACTCAGGGTTGAAGTCCAAGGCTCTTTTGAACTTTCTGCATACATCAGTTTAGGTCTTGATGTTAGGAGACAGAAAAAATCATAACAAATCCAAGCTGTTCTCAGAGAGTTTGGTGTTTGAAAATTTGGTTGTAGATTGTTTAGCGTGGGATGCTCCAAGGGATCCTGTTGTCGAAAGCCCGAGCCCAGCGCATTGTGGCCATGCGGTATTCAGAACCGGAGACTCTGAATCAGGGTTCAGGGTTCTCATGAAGCTACTTTCTTGGGTCCCCAGAGGTACGGTGATCAGGTGCTTTCTACACATGGGGACCAGATGTTGTCGGACGGCAAGCGCATTATTCTCAGGGTCGCAGAAGGGTTACTTTGATCAAGGGCTACTACGTACTAATTAGGAATTCAAAAGGGTTACTACAATAAGGGTTGCAAACCACAGGCAAGCGTTACTGTAGTTTGTATAAGGGTTACTATATGGGTTGCTGAAAAGTTTCTGGAAGGCTACGGCATGTGGGTCACCGCATAGAAGAGCACGGCCACTGGAGAAAGAGAAAGCAAGACAAGTACTTCTCATTACATTGAGTATGCAGAAGAAAACGACGATGCACCGGTAAGCCTTTAACGAGCCCAATCGAGAATCGAATCCCGGAACCCTGCCCATAACCTCCATGCGGACCTGTCGCGAAGCGAGAGTACTTCGACAGTGTCAGGATTCAATGCCAGAACAGAAGCACCTCGAAGCAAAAATTGGTTGAAGCTCTCAGTGCTGCAAGCTCTAAGGGATCAGCCTAACAATGAAGTGAAGACGCTTGCATGTAGCATAGAGAGACTAGGAAGTTTGTCTTGGTCTCTGTCGCTCTCCCTTTTCCTCTGTAAACGTACAGTGTAGTCTAGTGGATTGCACAGCGTTAAATAAGAAGCACGTGACCGTGTCAAACCTCGCACATCAATGCCCTCTCGACTGGCAGGTCCGGCCTTGTTCAGCGGCGCAGCCTCAGAGAGAACTTCTCTGCACCGACGGCTGCGTCGTGGAGGCCACGAGCATTCTGAAACGCGGGGGTTGAGGGCTCGTTTTCCTAATCAGTCGTGAACCTTGTCTCCTGAGTCCGGTCCGCGATGTGGACAGAGTCACAGCCAAACAGCACCGATCAGAAGTCTGCAGACCAGATCAAGGGAGAATGGAGCAACGGGGTATTCAAGAAGGAAAGGACACAGGGAGTTGGGCGATTGGTTCGGGGCTTTCGGTGGTGGTGAGGCTTTCACTCTGCAAGGCCGGGAAAGGAAGCGAAAGGTCCAGGCTAAGTCAGGCTGACTTTGATTTCGAGGCTTACGGCGTACGGGCCGGCCTGGGCGTGTTCGGATTGATGGTCTTGTTCATGTTGCAGCTGTTTGTGTCCTGTGTATCAGAGAGCACTTTATAGGCATGGAGGCAGTTCCTGGCAAAGGGCCATGTCGTGGGGTTCATGGTTGTTACTGTACTCGTAGTTGTTTTCCAGCACGTGTGCGAAAAAAATCCACCATGTCCCTTGAACCCCGAGCCTCAGCTCGAACTCTGCAGTGGAGGCTTGAGAGGGCGCTGTGATGAGGAGGCGCCGGGCCCTGGGCATCTAGTACTGGTCGGCTCTTGCAATGCAG